ACTGCTAAGATAGGTGAAGTATGGGAAGGTGGGTGCTAAGGTAGGGTTGAACCTCCATAGGCACTGAGAAATTATTAATTAATGGCACTGGACTGTTAAGGAGATTTGTATCCTAGCTATAGTATTTTGGGAACAGTGGTCACCGACTGTGGTAGTGAATGCTGAGTTTTCAGTTGCACCCATTGTTCCAGTAATTTATACATTGGTTATGAAAAAGCTAACGATAGATTGTGGCGCTAAACAAACAGGAAGTCCTTTTTGTTTTTAATTGGCAACTCACAGAAACACACAGGAGTGACTTATCTGATTCTGCCATTTACATTCACTGTTGTGAGATGAAGATGGCAAATTACCAAAGTCTTGCAATCATAGCTAGCATTATAACACTGCCCACTACATGCTTTATTTTCAACAAAAACACACCAAGGTATTTGAAACGGCTCCCTCTGTACACATCTTTACTTCATGAGGAGAGGCCAATGCTTCCAATGGGACATGGCAGGTAAAGAGAGAATAAGAGTAGGGAGCATTGGGGAAGATTACAGTAAACATTTTTGGCTTATTTCTCAGATAAAACTATAGCCCAGTACTTCAGTTGTCTGTTGTTTATTACCTAATGATTATTCTTTTTTTTTAATATTTTTGTACAGTTGTGATGCTGACCTAGCCCTTAGATCAAATAATCAATAAAACCCACCCAAGACAGTTACACCTCTGGGAGCTGTCAAAAGAAAAATTAAAAAAAACCCATCATATGGAATCTTTCGGAATGTCAAGTAATAAAATTTTAGACGTCATCTGTGATTATCAAAGGATGGATATTCCATTAAAAACAGGAAGTTACTGATTGTGTTAAAGATATTCATTATTGTGTGCAGAGGTCCAAATTCTGCTCTTCATTTAACCAAAATTTAGTGGGGTTTCACAGACGTAGTTGAGGGCAGAATTTGACCCATGTTTTATTGAAGTCTAATTGGAGGTAAAAATTGTTTCCTGTTGTTATGATTAAAGCAGAAAGGAGATTATCCTGTTTTCATGACAGTTGTTTAATTAGACCTAATTAACCTTCATTGCAAATGTTCAGTGCTGGAAGATAAGTCAGTGGTGGGGCTTTGACTCACCTGCAATTTCATTTGCTTTCTTTGATCTCAACACAGAGGTGCAAGAATTAAAAAAAAAAAAAAAAAAAAAAAAAAAGAAAGAAAGAGGGATGGAGGAGTAATATTTAAGGTTAATGAGCAAGTCATTTAATTTTCTGTGTGCTGGCCTGCAGACATTGGGCCAAATTAATCCCTGGTGTAATTCTAGAGAAGTCATTGGAGTTACACCAGGTATTAGTATGGTTCCATTGATTTTGCTCCTCTCAGTGCACTGGAAAAGACTTATCATTCCCAATGCAGATTGCACCAGTCTTCACTGCTGAAGATATTTGTTAACAACAAGTGGAACTAAAATGGTCCAACTAAGCAAAGGAATATCTGGATGTTTGATCAGAACCTTATTCAAACTACCACACCCCGTAGGCAGGGCCAGATTGAAGCAGTCCTGAACTCTAGGCACACCCACATATGTGGACCCCACACCCACATCTTGGCCCTCCCTTAATTTGAGCAATAGTGGCAGGGTCCACCACTACAGTAGCTGAGGAGCCCACTACCACGCTTGTTTGGACAGGCTGGGGTCTCCCTCTTCCCCTGTGCCCGAGCAGGAAGGGGTCTATCCAAAAAGAAGGATTCAGCCTCCCACCCAGGCAGAGGATTCTACATATGTGTGGTGTGCCCACTGCCATCACCCCAGCAGAGCCCTGATGCGGCCTCAGAAGGAGGGCCCAAATACTGAGGGCTTGTCTACACTACCGCGGTAGTTCGACGGCTGGCAATCGAACTTCCGGGTTCGATTTATCGCGTCTGGTGTGGACGCGATAATTCGAACCAGGAAGTGCTCGCCGTCGACTGCGGTACTCCACGTCAGCGAGAGGAGTACCGCGGAGTCGACGGGGGAGCCTGCCTGCCGTGTGTGGACCGCGTCTGAACCGCGGTAAATTCGAACTAAGGTATGTCGACTTCAGCTACGTTATTCACGTAGCTGAAGTTGCGTACCTTAGATCGAATTGGGGTGTTAGTGTAGACCAGGCCTTAGTCTCTACTGAGGTGGTGTCAGCAAGGGCCCCCAGAGTTCCAGAGGCTTGGTGTGCTCTAGTGGAGGTGGGAGCCAAACATTCTCCACCCTCCCTCCCCCCTGGCTCAAGTGGCCGCTGTTCCTCTCTCTTCTGGAGCAGATACCTTCTTGGCCTCCGACTTCCAGAATAAATAGAAGGCTTCATGTACTCCACTGCAAGCTGAACTTAAATTCTGCTGCAAGAACCTTGAGTTCTTCCATGGAAATTCTGTAGCAGATTTAGATAGTCAAAACAACTGAGGTTTTATGTAATGAAATATAAAAATGCCGAATACAGCCAATACAGCAATTTCTGTGTTGTTTATTTTGGTAGCAAACCCAAATTATTTTACATTGCTCTCACACTTTCAGTTTTGAGTCAGATAAATGGGGCAGATATTTCACGCCTCCCAGAGCTATTGTTTCTGGCTTTCTGCAAACTAGAGTGACCAGATGTCCCGATTTTATAGGGACAGTCCCGATTTTGGGGTCTTTTTCTTATATAGGCTCCTATTACCCCCCCACCCCGTCCCGATTTTTCACATTTGCTGTCTGGTCACCCTGCTGCAAACACAAGAAGACATCACTGTATCGTTTACACTTGGTTCATGTTTTGAAGTTATTCTTTGCAACAATGAAGACTAGAAATATAATTACATTTTTAAATTATAGCTTAGATTATGATGTCATCATGTCATCATGGCTCCAGGAGGCAAGTCCTTGGCATGGGCCTAGTTTTCTATGCCACAATCAACCTTGCCCATGAGGTCTGTAAATTTGGTGTAGAAATCTTGCAAGTGTTTTTTCTCACAGTATTTCACTACTTCTACTCCTGGTCCGAGCTTGAATCAAGTTTTTGAAGAGTAAAGAAAATGGAGGAGGACGAGGTTCTATAAATGAAATGTGTCATATTGCTAAAAAGGTTTGCGTTGAGCTTGGGGAAGAGAATGCTTAGGGTGGTTCTCATTTTATCTACACAGAATTGCCCATCAGGGTAAGAGCCTTTTCACCTCTTCATACCCCAGTTATGACCATATAGTCTTTACTGCTGAGTGAGATTCCTCATTGTCACTCTGCTACTTGGGACCCAATTCTGAAAGACTTCGAGTGTAAAACTACCAGGGATGTCAGTGGGAATACTGTGTTTGCAGCCCATGGAGTCCTTGTAGTATTAATTAATTAATTAGTGTGTCACAGGAAATAACAACATCCAAGAATCAAAAACAGTTCATATGATGGTAGTTAGACATTTGCCTCTTCACAGTTCCCCAAAACTACAAAAACTGGCTATAAAGACTATGCATGTTGCAAGCTATCGTTTGTGTTTATATTTCTGTTTAATACAGTTTTAAGTACCATAAAGAGGTAAGAATTCTACTCAAACAGATGTGTTTGGTTCTTTGTATATTGAGATCTGCTCCCTCATTCACTTAAATGAGTTGCTGAATAAATCCATTAAATACATAACTTTAAAGTAAACGTAGGAAAATAATTAACAGGTTGCTATTTCATAAAATAAATTGCTTTTAAAATTAATCCTCAAATTCATCCAGTATTTTTATCAGCTACTCCTATGAAAGGCATCTGTGCTGGGGCCGCCCCAAAGAGCAGCTTGTGCTTCCCACAATATGTTGGGGCAATGGGAATTTTAGGAGTCTAGCTGTAATTTTAAGCTTTCAAAATTGGGAAATATATATACAAAAGGTTTTAGCAGGCCCTTATCAGAAATCAGAGGCAATTAGTGTTTTGGCATGTAATTTATGATTGTAAGCACAGGCAGTAAGGATGGCAAAACTGAACTCTAGATTAAGATTTTTAGAGGGAGTTTTGTGTCTTGTTGCATCCTGTTCACACCATTCTGGTTTTTTGTTCTTTTTCTACTAATGTACAAACACAGTGGTGACCATTAAAAATCATCATATACCAACAGTTTCCCCATCCTGCTTTCTGAGACATTGCAGATTTTCCCTAAGAAGAGGCAACTATTGTGGGAACCCTTGGGAAATATTGACTGAGTAATAGTTTACCCCTCTATAATGGCAAATAAAGGTATCCAGTACTGTACTCCATAGTGTAACAACGTATTATATATATATTTTAATAGTTACATATATTTAGTTCACATATGTTCTCAAGAATACGTGTCATTTGTTAGCAATCTAATAGAAACATATAATTATTTCTGTATCTCAGCATTTCCCAAGAGCTGGGCGGTCACATGACTAACAGTAACATCATGAGGAGGAGCCAAACTGCACATAACTTTGAACATTTGAGGATAGATTTTGATTTTGGATAGCCCTAAGCAAGGGATTGTGTGTAAACTGTACTGCTCCAGGGATGCCCCAGGGGATAGACACATGCCTCTTGAGTATCAATTCATCCATTTCTTCCCCCTTTGCTCCCAGGGATAATTTACTGCTGGCCTTTAACAGCAGTAAATTACTATGCTTCATACCCCTCACATATACATAGATGCTGGCTTAGCTATTCGGGCCATTGAGTTGGGGGTTAGACTGTTCCCTACCTGAATATTGCCCACCTGTGTCAGGGAAAGATTAAGCAAACAAGGGCCCTTGCTTATCCCTGTGTTCCCTGACCCAAGGCTGGGTAGTTTATATAGGGATGTAAAGTCCTTACTCCCTTGGCGAAGTGTGTAGTTTAAGACAGAATGTAGCACTATGTAAATTGGATAGAATGTGGCATTCATGATATTTTCACTGTATGCCTTTGGTGAGATGAATACAGTGCAAAAAGATTCCAGTTATGCCCTGAATTAACTTTTACCATTGCTGTGTGTAAAACAGACATCTGTTATAATGAGTCTTCTTGGTTGATTTCAGAACACACTCAGAAAATGACAGTACCTCTTTACCACCTGCTGACTCCTGCACCAGTCCTACTAAAATGGATTTATCATACAGTAAGACTGCCAAACAGTGCCTAGAGGAGATATCTGGTGAGTGGCATGTGGGAAAAACCTCAGTATAGAAATGTTATATTTCTTTGTTTACATAGCTCTCCTACTAATAGCTTAGCAATGGTTTAAAATAATACCTTTGACCTCTATTCATTATATTAAATATGCAGAGAAAGTGGGTCACACGCTGTTAGCACTTCAACTGCAAATTCTTTTATCTAAGCTGTCTCACTTAGAATATCCTCTTCATCATTTTGCAGAAACTGGAGTGTTCATAAATTAGGTTTTCAAGACATTATTATTGTCAGTATCATACTGAATACTCTATGAGGAACCTTGGGAAGCCTATCTCGTAATGTGTGACACTGGGAGAATAAGATCAAATTAAAATGTCAGAAGCTGAAGTGTTAATAACATAACATTTTTATTTCTGTAAGTGAATCTAGATTCAAAAAAGGGAGTAAATGAACAAATCCTTACAGTTGTGCTAGCCTGTGGCCCACTCAGCAAGGTTCTATCTTGGGGTTCCCTCTAAATATGGGTTCAAATCCTTACCAGGTTACAATTTTACAAATGAGTTTGTGTATTTTTTGCGACTACGGGTCAGATCATCAGCTGTTGTACATTGGCATAGTCCTTTGGTGTCAATGGAGCTATGACAGTTTACATCAGCTGAGGATCTGGCCATAAATCTAGCTGTCAGTGGGCACAAAACAAAGAATGTCACAACTGAGTTTCGCATCAGGATTGAATTGCATAGAAGAGCTGTGTACTTTCAAAGGGCCTGCTTGTCTGAACTGTGGTTTCCTTTTTTTTACTCTGTACCATTACTTTCAAACTCACTTTTATGAGCATAAAGGGTGAAAGTGTGGCCCATTGAAGTCAACTGGACTTTTGTCATTTTTCCCCAAATTTTCAAAATTCAAACAAATGTTAAAAACACATCTGGCTTTTCTCACTCAAGATATAATTTGTTTAAAGGAAATCATTTGACACATATAAATCTAAAAAGCTATCACACTTAGAGAAAGGATGATCAAATTGCCCCGGTTTTGTCAGACTGCTTTGGCATCTAGCCTGATTCATATTAAAATGGAGGTTTTATCTTGTTTCAGTATAGGTATCTGGCTCTGTCTCAGTTTTTCCTCAAGTGTCTCCAAACTGACATCCCTCACCTTCCAAATTCTTGATCAACTTTTTGACAAGTAGCCTAATCTGAAACCTAATTAAGTGTTCCCTTTAGTTTCCACTTAGATCTATATTATCATGGAAACTTCTTGCAGAGGGAAAATGCATTCCAAATTAGCTAAACTTTATCTTTCCTAAAGGCAGATACATGGCTCATTGGTCTTACTGTAGGCATAACAATTAAAAACATGCACATCTAAATAGGTGTAAATATTACAAAAGATGTTTCACTAAATTATCCGAAGGGATGGTAAAAAATCACTTTCATGCCTGCTGTAATGATCCTCTAGGATAGCAGGTATCCAGTCCTTTTACTGTTCTGTGTAGAAGTGGAAAATGCAACAAAAAAGAGAAAGTGGCATATGGGGCACTAAAGAGACATCAGAGATGTTTCTGATCTCATTATTCAAACTCTGTCATTAGCTGCAGACGGCCATAATGGGCAGCATGGCGGCACCACTGCGAGAGTTCAGCCATTGACTCATTGTAAATTGGGCACACGGAGGAAACCAAATGTGTGTCACTCATAATTGGCAGTTAGAAATATGAGGAATGGCTGGATCAAACAATCACCCTGTGCAGCAGATGTATTGTTAGCTATGTATATGTGCTGAAGAATATCATTTGGAATCTATTCATGAGCTGGCTATTCAGGAGACTGCTCTAGGATGAGCTAGGCCGGGGTAAGAGAGAGATTTCCAAGCTCCCAAGTATATTCCGGCCACTCAGTGGGATCATCATCCAGCAAGGGGTGTCATCTGTACCAAGGACACATGCAAGGGTGATTTTTGTGATATGGACTCTTAAGTAGAAAGAACAAGAGAGCAATTATGAGTTGTTTTGTCTTTCCGTAAACTTTCTCTATTACTTTCTATTTAGGTTCTTATACTGTGCCTATTAGCATGTTACCTGAGCCCCAGGCTTGTTTTGGTTTTTGAATAACTTGATACCCAAGCCCAATAGCCAGAAGTTCTCTTAGTCAAAAAGGGTCTAATCCTGCAAGGTGCTGAGCGTCCCCTGCAAAATCATTTATACAAAGGGACTTGAGGTCATTCAGCCACTCACAGGACTGGGCTCAGAAAGTTCTGTCCCATTTGCGTATTTGTTTCATTTGTCATTCTGGTCTTTATTATTGTTTTAAAAGTGCCAAGTGTTTATTGGGTGTTTTACAATAAAAATAGAAAGACAAGATTCCCCAGCTCAAAGTTCTGGCAAGTCTAAGGGCCTGAGCCTGCTTGCAGTGCATAAAGTTAAGCACATGCATAGGTCTCTGCAAGATCAGGGCCTAATTTTAGGTATGGGGTAACAAAAAATGAGGAGGGGAAAGAGAGCAAGGAATAGGGTTACTAGAGTAGTAAAATAAATTCTAATCCCAGTTTTGCTACTCACTCACTGTATGACCAAGAGCAAGTTAGTTAAACTTCCTTCACCAGTTTCACCATCTGTAAAACGGATGTTTGCCACCCTACATTGCAGGTGTGGTGTGGGCGTTAATAAGCCAATTATTTAATAGCACTTTGAAAAAATGTACATCTCTATAATTGCAAAATATTATTTTAATAATCTAATTATGTTACTAGGCTTTTACACAGTGTTTACATGTTTAAAGAGTTTAGCATACCTGTTAAGGCTGATTCCCCACTCTGGCACTTCAAGTGCAGAAGGTGGGGGCCCAGAAGGACACTAAAAATTAATACTTGCCATCCCAGGCTTGTATTAAACTCCCAAGGTTACAGCTTTTCTCTGACCTAGGATGGGTAAATGCTGCCACCACCCAAGTGCAAAAAAAAAACAAAAACGCTTTGAGAACCCAGGAAGGCTCACTTGGGAATTTCATCCTGTGGGGTACCCTCAAGCCCTTTCACCTCCCTCCGGGGAAGAGCTGAGAAGAAAAACAAAGGAAATCAGATGTTGCCACCAGCTAATTAAACAACATGTGCACAAACCTCTTGGGACACAAACATCCAATTCTGTTCTTAAAAAAGGTAAATTTTATTAATTAAAAAAAAAGAAGAAAATGCATCTGGGACTTAGGCTTTTGCTAGATATATATTAAAAAAACAATTACAAGGAGTAAACATCAAGAATAACTCTCCGGAGGTCCAGCTTAAAGGTTACAAGCAAAACAAAAGCTCCTGGGGTTAGCACAGAGGAATCCACAAGCCATAAAGAAATAAAAGGGATAAACCTAATCATGTCTTCCTAGACATTTCCTAATCTACTTACATATCTAGAGTTTTAGATGAGTAGTTTCTAGGTATAATACTAGTATTTTTTCATACCTGGCCTAAGCTTCTCACATCATAACTGCTCCCTGTCTGCCTCTCCCCGAGAACAACAGAGAGACAAAAGGGGAGTCTTGTTTCAATTTTAAAAATTTCTAGCCTTCCCATTGGCTCTTTTGGCGAGGTGCCCACACACTTCCTTTTACCTATGTATAGCAGTAAGACTTTTAACCCTTTACAGGTAAAAGCAAGTAGAGAACAGCTACTAAAAGGGATTTTATAGCTACTAGCTGGCTGGGTGTTCATAAAAGGGAGCTACCCCCACCCCCCTTCATTTATCACAATCCATGAATAATTATACATGAAGATGCAAATATTGGCTAATTATAAATGTACCATTCATGTGGAAGCACTATACAAAAGTTAGGGAGGAGGCAAGGAATCATTTTAAGAATTAGAATTATATCCCAATATTAGCAGTGGGATTAGCATATCCACTTTGTATTTTCAGATGTTCACATTTACTGCACTTTTTCCCCCTTTCGAAAAGAAACACTTAAAAAGGATGTTGTAAACCATGTACACATGTACTAAGAATTAACTAAATTTAGCATGTTATTCTAATTCTCTGGATTTTGAGGTTCTATTATATAATTCATTAACAAAGAGCCAAACTGTGTATTCAAATATCAATGAAAGTTGTGTGTGCTTATCTGAGAACAGAATTTGGCCATAGATTGTTACATTTTTAAATCATTTTTAAGATTCCTTTGTATGTAATGCATTATACAAAATAAGGTTTATTATTACTATAATCATGGAGTTGGGAAAATTCCCTATGATTGTCCTCTCTAAAAATGACACTTCCATCTTTAGGGTGGGGAGTATATTAGATTGTCATGTAACTGAGGAATATAATGTAACATTTGCTACCTCAAAACCTCCTAATGTGATTTCTTTTATATAGCCTGTTCTTGTTCATGGTTTTAGTTATGTTTCTTTGTTTGCATTTATATATTTTTTTAAATTTAAAATGGGAGAATGAGCTTTAGAAGACTATATTTCAGTAAATAAACCTGGGATTCTTCCATATTGCAGTCTTAGGTATGGTCACATTATGAGGGTACATGGTAGATCAGAGGGTAGGTTAAAATTATCATTACAAAGGGAGAGTTATCATAATTCAGAGTGCTTTGTGCTGTGCATTCATCCCAAGGTACATGTGTGCCTCTAATGTATTTTAGGGGATGATGAGGAGCACCTGAGACAGGGTCCCATGGAAAAATAGTATGTGATCATGCAATAAATGTCTGTAGTACATTACATATGCACAAAAAGGGACAAATTAAGATTGCACATGAAACCTTAATTGTAACATTTATAACATTTAAGTGCTTGACTTTGCTACCTTAATACAGTAAATAAGCTGTTTTAACCAGCACTTCATCAATCGGAAAGCTCTATAAACTGGCATCTCTGATCTTCATTAAAAGTCCAGTTTATAGTCCGGTTGGCGCAGGTGGGCAGGGTGTTGGGGTGCAGGAGGGGGCTCAGGGTGCCGGATCCAGGGGGCACTCACCTTGGGAGCCTCCCTGCAAGCGGTGACCTGTCTCAGCTGCTCCTAGG